CTTTCCTAATGAAAGCTTACCTCGGCTTTCCTAATGAAAGCTTACCTATTTTATGAGAGAGCGATCTTTTTGACGGAGTCGTGTCTGTCGCCCGCTCGCTAGCTTAGCGCTTTTTATTTATTTTTTATTTTTTTTATTTTATTTATTTATTTACCTTATCGTAGATGTCTCTGATTTCCTGTTTCGAATACGGCCGGAGTTGATCCCCCCTCCGGAGAACCAGACGTCCTCCCGCTCCCAAAACGTCCTAGTTGGAGGGTCGGAGGTCCGGTGATCAGCCCCGTCGTGGTTCCCCGTCGGCAAGACGAACTCCCAGGCGTATCCCAGCAGTGCCTCCAAACTTTTGTGGAAAATAAATAATTGTTCTAAACTTTAAAAAACTCTTAATAAAAAGAAAACCAGAGACATTTCTCTTTTAGCTCAAAACGGAGCGCGAGGTTTATTCTTTCTGCAGAAAGGAGTTGCTGCCTGCGTGAAGTCAGAAGAAACACACAGAGCATACTGGATTCTTAAAGAGACAGTACATATATTTATACATGTTTCGTGCGTCACAATAACATTCTATCATGATGGGAGGATAAGTTCCTCAGGTTGATACCATACACAAGTTCTTGTTATCAGTACGAGATGATGTTATTCTTCTTGTTGAGTCGTGTTCTGTAACAAGTCTTCTGTCCATGTGACTAGAACATTCTGATAAACATTTGTGGATCTGGTAGTTTTTAATTAGATTTGTAACAAGTCTTTGTTCATGAGCTAGAACATTCTGATAAACATTTGTGGATCTGGTATTTTTTAATTAGATTTGTAACAAGTCTTTGTTCATGTGGCTAGAATCTCTGAAAAAGAAAAACATATTGATACGAAAAGCGTCCTCAGCCATTTAGATAAAAGTTCTGTATCTTTGCCTCTCTGCAGGTGGTGAAATACAAGGACGTTTGCTGGAGCAGAGGACAAAAGTTCACATTTACAAGAGTTTACCAGAGTTCACATACACACACCAACTTTGAAAGTCTGCAGAATGAACATGGATTAAATGATATTTAAACAATACATGTTAGTTTATTAATTTTTTTCACACGATGGACGATTTCTTTTCACAAAGATGGCTTCCTTTACTCCTCTCTCAAACCATCCTTCCTCTCTAGCCAGGATGTGAACATCTTCATCCCTGAAAGTGTGACCGCTGGCCTGGAGATGAGTGTAGACCGCAGAGTCCTGGCCTAATGATGTTGATCTTCTGTGCTGGGCCATCCTTTTGGCCAGTGGCTGTTTTGTTTCCCCGATGTAACACTGATCACCCTCCTGACACTGAACAGCATACACAATATTACTCTGTTTGTGCCGGGGGACTGGATCTTTGGGATGAACCAGTCTTTACCGTAATGTATTTTGGGGTTTAAAAGCCACTGGGACGTTATGTTTAGAAAATAAACGTCTCAGTTTCTCTGATACTCCCTCAACATATGGAATGACCACTGGTCTGGGTCTGGGTTCCTCCTCTTCACCTGTTGGCTGACTGGAATCCTGTTTGGGTTTCTTCTCTGCTTTCAGGAAGGCCCAGTTAGGATATCCACATTGCTCTAGAGCCTGTCTTGTGTGGGATTTCTCCTTCTGCCTGGCTCCTGAGCTAGTGGGAACGCTGTCTGCTCTGTGATACAGAGTCCTGATGACTCCTAACTTGTGCTCTAAAGGGTGATGGGAGTCAAACTGCAAATACTGGTCTGTGTGTGTGGGTTTGCGGTACACCTCAGTTTGCAAATGTCCTCTATCAGAACAGCTCAGAATCAAAGTTTCAGCCTGCCTCAGCAATGCCAAACCACCACCTTCCAACATCAGTAGAGAGGAGAGGGAAGCACTCACCACTCTTAGCAAGGACAAAAACATCATCATTCTCCCAGCAGACAAAGGAAGGTGCACAGTGATTTTGAACCAGAAAGACTACCATGAGAAAGTTATGACACTCCTTAGTGACTTAAACACTTATGAACC